TCTAGAAAAGATCAAAACTTTATTCTAAGTTGCAAAGTAAGATTATTTTCTTTTGTTTCCTAGTAAAAGTGGTTATTTCTGTGGTAAAATCTAGGGGGGAAATATAAAGAAATGCAATTAATATAGTTTATATTTGAAGAATGTAATAAAATTAATAAAATTAATAAAAGTAATTATAACCTATTTATACAGTACATTAATGTAGGCCTACTATAAATAGGGTTTAACCATGGTATCAGTGAGTGAGTGAGCTCCGATCAATCCCATAATTCCTTAGGATTATTGAATCATGAGTCATCTAATATTCACAATTTTATTTTGATAACTTCTAGTTGTTCCTTGCCAAACTCTGGGGTAATTCAAAAGCTTTTCCCACGGTGAATTATTTGTTAAGTTGTTTGTAGTTTTTAGTCTAATGATTTTGTAAGTTTATATGCTTCAAGAATAGAAAAAAGAAAATGTCAATGATACATGAACAATGAAAATGTATCGAAAAGAAAAAGTTTACCTGAATTTTATACATTGCTAAAAAATGTATATAAATACTTAATGAACATTAACAATAACATTTAATATTTGGGTTACTCGTAAATAACAAACTATATTTTTAATTTTAATTTTTTTTTGTAATAATAATAATAATAATAATAGTTGGATTTGTAGAGCGCATCATGCAAAAAAGCCTCTATGTGCTTGGTGATTGAGCTCTTTGAGTTGGACATTTTGAGAAAAAAAGAAAATTGAAGTTATTTTATGAAACTAAAAAAACCTACTCCTTAAACTAAAAAAACCTACTCCTGTAAACCAAGCAAAATCATCATATTTGCAAATCCATTTGATGTTAACCATTTAAGAATTTGTAGTGAATGTCTGAATTAGTTTAATTTGTTTCTGTTATTAAAAATTAGATTATATTGGGTTTCTTTGGGGTGGGGTCCTCCTGGTGGCAAATAGGGCAGTAGACCAGGCAGGCCCTTGGGGGGGGTCAGGGATCGGAGATTGGACGATTCCCCCCCACAGAATAGAGAGTTCCGCTCTACTAGACCAACACAAAACACAACTTAGTGCAATTTATGCACTTGTCAATGTGTGCCTTGGCCTTATAAGCCTATGACATGCACTGTTTTTATGTGCGACTATACTCAAAAGATGTTTTGCACAGTAACCAAAGATGATGATGATGATGATGTATGGAATGATCCTATCTTTAGACTTCCTACTACATTTAATCTACTAACAATATTGCATGGTATAGCCTACTGCCAAATCTTCAATATTTGCACATATCAAATTGATTCAGTTTTAATTCACAAAAATTGTATAAATTCATTTGAAAGCAGCTCAAAAATACCAGTAGAGCATTTGGAATGGCTTTCAACATTTTTTGAGAGAACCCCTGGACCCCAAAAGTTCCACTCAGATTGAAAAAGATCCCCCCCCCTCCCCATTACCAAAGCTGGTTACGGGCCTACCAGGAGACAAATCTCCTACTTTTTTCTGAAAAGTTGACTGCATATTTAATGTGCAGATGAGCCACATTGCACACAGGAACAACAGCTTAATTGTCTCATCGTCACAAGATGGTGCTCTGTTGAAAATTGCACATCAGCCCTCTAACTGAAACATAACGAGAGCAGCGGATGGAATTGAACAAGGGACACCAAGGTTAATATGATCTCCATGGCTCATTGTAGATTGGCTACCACCAGTTTAGCCTATTGATTTTTAGATGAATTGACAACATGTGTTTTAAATGAGCTGTTTAGTGCTTTGAATTCATTTGTGAGGATTTTTTCCCATTTTACCATGGAATATATCATTGACTAAACACCATCATTAAAATATACTTAACTGCTACCCAAAATGTTCAAGTTTATATTCAACCTGATATTCTTATTTCGGTTACATAGAAAAGGTTTTGGTAAATCAAGACTCCATCTTGAATACTTCAAAATTAATGTCTTTTGAAGGTTTGGGAACAAGTTTATATTAAAAAAGGTGAAATACAAGACTGCTGAACTACACCAGTTAATTTTGCAATGGAAATAAAATTGAAAAGAAAGTATTATTTTTAGCAACACAATTTGATGACTAATGGGTAAACATACTACCTACTTAAGTTTTTTTTTGTTTTAAATTGTCCTTGATATCAAAGTTCTATGTTGTGTTCATAAAATGTTGATATGATTCAACAACCATTGTGCTACATAATTTGCATTAAGAACACTTAGCTTTTTGTCATTTATGTTTTAAATCGTTTTCATTTGAAAGTAAATGTAATATTTTATCCTTGAATATTTTTATCCAATTACATCAAATTCTATGAATTAGTTTTCCTGATAATAAATCAATTGAATTCTTTATGCTCTATTATAGTACCATTCAGAGTTAAAGCTCTCCAGACTACCACATTTCCTTTGACAAAAAACTGTTGTATTATCCATAATATATTCATGATGTACCTATGTATGATTATGATATGACTTTTCATGACCATATTTAGGCATGTCACATGTTTTTGTCAAAGAAGTTTGATGTTATCTTATGAACAGTTTGGTTTCAGATGGCTTAGTGCTAAGATTTTTTTGGTTTTGATAAAGGAGGAATGGTGACTAAGTAAACCAAAATGTGTTGAATGAGTAATGGCTGACAATGAACTATAGAATTAGACCTAGACCTAGGTTAAACAAAATGACAATCAACTTACCCTGATCTCCAAATTAACTCCACACAACAATTTTACTGTGGCCTAATTATATTTAGTTGCAAACGGTGTAATAATCATTTGTCATATTATGTTGTTGTGCTTAAAACATATTGTTCAGGTACACTTGCCCTGTGTCAATGCCTTAGGTCTGTACACCTGAACATTAACACTACCAGCATGAGGCCAATTAATGCAAGGTATGTAAAGTATAAGTATGAACCCCTTTTTGTGTGTCACCACTTGAAGTTTGCGGACTAAAATTCCTATTTAATTTAAGAGATTGTGAGTGAGGTTCTTATGATTGTGGCCTAAAATACAGATTTTACCCCGTAAGCCATTAAATATCTTCCCCTAGATCCTCACTAGGGGTATTACTTCAGTACCCTGGCTAGTGGCTCTAGAGAGTCCCTTGGTTTGGATCCCTCTGTAAGAATTGAATTGATTTTATCACTGTATAGTTATACCTAGTGTATTTCCTGGTTTCATTTTGCAACGTTTTCCTTTTACAAGAACTTGGCCTATCATTTGTCATTGAACTTTTCTATGATCCATTTGGGAACTTCTGAATCGTAAAGTTTGATTTGAAGAAGAAAAGGATTATCTTTCATCTTTCCCGATGGAGCGCCATGCCGATTGTATCGGGGATGAGTCACGACTTGGCAACATTTGTCGCCTGTTAGGGCCTGTACACATTCAGTATCGATGCTTTACCGTAAGTATGTATATCAATGTTTCATTTTCTTGATTGACAATTGAGAAAATTTAATCACACATTTTTGACTGTTAATTATTTTTGTTCAACAATTCAACAACAACTCTGGAGTGTTTGTGAATTGAAGTTGTCATATTTTTTAAGTGTCAGTACAATACGTTTTTACAAGTATCATTTATTATCATGCTCCATCCAATGTCACTAATATTATTCAACTTGCCAAAGCAAGTGCTCCTGCAAGAGAATAGATACTACTTAAGGAAAAATAAGATTGTAGTTTAATGAAAGATAACTTGCATTAGGAGCTCTAAAGTTCCTTCATCAAGAGTGACTTAATGTCCAGGTGATTTTGAGTAGGATGGGGGCCTGCCCCCAAAGGGATCCCTCCTATATTACCCAGTACTCAAATATGGACCTTAGGCTCCAATATTTGTCTTGTCCCTAGTCTGCATGACTCGTCGTTAAGTCACTGTATTTCAGGCTCCTACATCAATGACTGTTTATTATAATATCAAAAATTGCAGTACAACATAGCATAAATAATAGCCTGGTTCTATGTCAGAAAGCAATCCAGCAGGCCAAAAAAATTGTGGTCTACAGTGTCAACTTCAATCTAGTGCAAATGTAGTTCACTGGTTCACCTCATTTTTGTTAAATGCGCACACTTCTCTAACTTGCCTTCCTAAAGCCTGCTCCAGATTTGAAGTTAAGCAGCTTCGCAAATGGCCAAACTTTTTTTTTGCTTGGTACACAAAGGTAAAGTTAGGAGAATAAACCCATCTTGCAGCGTCATTGTGCTGAATAGCGTATGGGTGTGGTTCGTGACTACCTTGTAGCCGTAAAGAGGTGTTTCGTGGTAGCTACTTGTTCACATCATTCCACAACAACAGGAGTTTACATCAACCACAACATCGAGATAACGCCTACTCTTCCAAAAGATGCAAAGTGTTCTTTAGTGCACACGAGCCAAATGTATACACTGGACCTCCATTTTAAGTCCTTATCCGAGAAGACTTGGTTCTACCAACTGAACCATGGTGGAGGAGCGGCTAGATCCAGCGCCGATGTTAAGGATGTAGCTAGCGGAGCCCCTGCCTTACCGCTCGGCCACTCTACTACACTCATGAATAGACCTTTGAAAATAACATTAAACTTTCACAAAGTTAAATATTTTCTAAACACTAAATATCATTGATTAGTACATTGTATTATAAATTACAAATTTTTTTTTATCTATAATTCTGATTTTGTTTATTAAAAATTCTTACTTTAAATTGTATATTTGGTGGGGTATTTTTAATGATTCCCTGGTAGCACAGGCTGGATGAAAAAGCTTTACCGTTTTGAAAGTTGATTACCTACTGACTGGTATAGGCAAAGTTGTCTGAAATTTCCTGATTAAAAGTTTGCTTCCCCTGTACTGCATAAAGGTGACTCATACCCCAAGGCAGACGTCACTTTTCACGTGACTACAGCTTCTGTTGCGATTGGTGGATGGGGTATAGGAGTTTTTAGCAGTTCAGGAGTAATGAATCAAACCGTATATGTTAAGTTTTCTTCCCGTAGACTGAGTTCAGTTACCGATAGGGCAGTAGTGTGGGATAGATCGACATCACTGGGAAATACTGTTAAAATGTTTTTGCACGACATACACAGGCCCTCTAAGATGCGAATCCATGCGCCGCTGCAATATCGCAAGAAGACCATGGAGAATTTTAGCGTGCACAGTAAATTGAAGAAGTTTTTTAGGCCAACGCCGCAGCCCCCAGCATTACCACCTAAAGACAGGCCAATGATTGTTCCACCCCCTCTACCAAGGATCAGGCGTCCAGTGCCTAAGCCCCCTCGGATTGTACATAAAACCCAAGTCACAGCTAAAGTCAGCACTAAGGTTTGAACATTGAACTATGTATATTTTTACCCTTTTTTTTTCTTATTGCTGTTTAACTGATTCAGTTATAGTCAGGTTTTTACTAACTTTTGTTGATAAAAGTATTATAATAAGGTGATGTCCATCTTGGAATCATTTAATGTTTATAAAATACTACAAAATTAGTACAATGTATTATTTTTATATATTTTTACATTTTGTTGTATTTAATAATTGACAGTATTTGGCAAGTGATGATGTCTTTCAAGTCTACATTACTGTATTCAGTGTCAGGATTTGAATGAATTCATATTATTATTAGGTTGAGTATGGTGATTAACTTTTTTTTTCAATTTATTTCTTTTAATATTCTGAATACAAAATTAATATCCATGGATGGAAATACAATTAAGTGCCGAAAGACAACTTATTTTCATTGTGGTCCAAAGCTTAAAGAAATTTCTAGTTCCTTATATAATGATGGGAATATGAAATTTCCTTTTCAGTTTTAATGTGATTAGATAATATTAATCTGATCTTGGTTTTATGCTGTATTGATAATAATCTTCATTTAATCATAATCATCATCAAGCCAAAACATGTTTTTTTGTCCTGCATATCAGGGTTGGTTGGTCAGTAATAAATTTTTTTAATGGGCATAGGCATAATTGTAGCATCAATTTTGTAGGTTGTATAGTAACCAATTGGCTAAAATCATAGTTAAATGATGTTGAATTAATTAAAGCTATAAAATGCGCCATCTTTGTACATATTGCAATTTTATTCGTTTCTTTGAGAAGAAGTATTCTTGAAAAAAAATTAATTTAATTTTTAGATATTGGAAAACATTAGCCTATTTTTGCCTCATCACATATTCATAATTATAATCATTTTCATTAACATTATAAACATAATCATCACCATTTCCATCAACTTCATTGACTTTGTATATGAATTGACATCTGTTTCCTGTTATCATAATCAAACAATAATTTGTCCTTCTCAATTACTGAATCGTTGTCATTGACAAAAATCAACCTATTTTTATGTACCGTAGATAATGGAAATAATTATTAGCAAAGATGAACTTTCTACTAAATTAGCAAAGACAAATCAGTAGTGTTTATAGATGTCTGGGTTAACAATCAGGTGGGGACTTGTAAATAGCAGTGCCAAATAACCCAATTATGTTTCCTTTAAAACTTAATGACTTTATAGATCGTCAATTGTACAAGACAAGAATGAAAAACACTGCATTCTGCCTGTATTTGCGTGGAGAAGATTTGCACAAAATTCAAATCATACCCAAAATGTGGCATTGGTTTAGCAAAATGTTTGAACCATTTGATTATCGCTGTCCAGTAGGGAGGTGACATTTAAAGCATACGAACACGTTGTCTGTCACATGACTTTTTCGACTTTCATTCTGTGACCAATGAAAGAGAAAGCTTGGTCTTGCTGTCGTTATGCTAGTTTATTGCTCTGTATTCATAAAACGAAAAGATTTCTCTCAACTCATGAATCATATCTATTTATGATAAATTATTTAATTGCTAATCTGCTAATTGATATTTTCGCAAATCCTTGTGGCATAATAAGTGTCTGAGTTTGAGTATAGCATAATTGCTTTGCACTAAGTTTATGGGTTTGCTTTATGCCTAAGTATGCATGCATAACTTTAAAAGGGATTGAAACAAAATTGAAGCTTAGTTTATATTCATCATGTTAGAATCATGTCAATATCATATTGCTGATGTTAATTAATGGTAAACCCTGATATGGTAAGAAAATATTTATGTATTTATCCTTTAATTCGTTAATGATAATTATAAAATTAGAACTAGAATATTTTATTAGAGTGTGTGGTTTATTCCATTTAAAGGAAATAAATTTAATAAGTATATATAGAAGAAATAAATTAACACAAATCAATGGACAACGATCAAGCAATCAGTTGATCAGCAACATCAACATGGTGGAGGTGGATTTAACCTTTTGCAAGATTCTTATACAAGGTGGCGACATTTTGCTGTTGAATTTGGTTTAAAACAAATGGAATTATGATATAAACAATGTAACAGTTAAGTTAATCATTGCCTCAATTCCTTATTAGGTAATGTTTGAAACCTTGTTCCAAAAAATAAACTTATGATTCATTTTACTACTCAACAATAAGCTTCAGTTTCTACCCTGGATCATTCCAAAATTTATCTACTTTTGAAAAATGCAATGCACAGCTTTAACATATAGGTTATAAACAATTGTTATGAACTTTAGAATGCAAAATGAATAGGCTAGAAATGACATTGCATAATTCAATGTAAAAATGATTACAAATTGAACCTATTGAAGGTTGCAGGGAATTTAGTAGTATTCGTTATCTCAGTGGGGTTTAATATAATGTGAAGGGCATAGTTTTACTTTACCTTGACATATGCTAATAAAAGAGTTCCTGTTCATTTATTTAAAAGAAAAAGTTTATTTTATAATAAAATAATGGAACCCAATATGAAATAAAACAATAGGCCTTATTTTATGATTCTAGGCCTCTGATTGGTTAAGAAGCAGGCAATAGAATGTACGATCCCCCTAAATGATAATACTTTTACTTTTTTGCCCTTTCGCACAATGTGCAATCTCTAGGCCGTGTTGCTATGTAATTTATGACACTCACAAATGGTAAAGGAGACGCTCTACGACGCTGAGAGAGATTGACCCTTTGATCGCCTAGAAAGTAAGCTAGGCCTACTTAGTGTTTACTATTTCCATTACATTTTTCGTAGAATCTATATATGAGGTATATTAAACAAATATTGAATGCTGTGATTCAGAGAACGAAATGGTTTGGCCCTCGGGAAGATAGGCTACAGTCGCCACATCACCTCAGGGCAATAGATTTCACCATTCCCCTCGTGAGCAGTCAGTATTTGTATATTATTATAATGCTATTGTTTCCCAATGTTCAGCCCAGTGGACCTTTCTATTGTGTCAATAAAACTTAACTGATCAAGCAGAATTGGGCTATGAATACACGCTTGCCCGACCAACACTCATGTTGTCTCACAATCGCACATGTTTACATTAACATCATCATATTGTTGGACCTCGACAACAATATCCAACGAGGGCTTATCAGAATGGTTCATTCTAACTATGGGTGTTGCTGCACTGCAACTGCCATGGGTCCAAGTAATTATTACGGTAGATACGAAAAGCCAGGGCAGCTCAAGGACTGCAAGGCCAGTAAACTGACAGGCATGTTCCTTCTAATGTCCTACTGTAACTTTACGTCCACCACTGCCTTCTTACTTATTGAAGTAGAATCATACCTATCTGCCTTTTGCAGATACTGGGAAAACCACTGTTTTTGATTAAATTACAGTGCTTTCCCCAGAAGAAAAATGCCAACCAAACAGGACATGTCTCTAACCAAGCATGTACCAACCAAATGATACTTAATTGATTTAATTGAGTGGGGTGTTCTCTAATGGGCTAAGTATCCATGTCCATTTTTACCATTCCCAAGAGGGTGATCTGCTGTCAAAAAGTGGTATTACTCCTACTTTAAATTTCAAATTGGTGAAGTCATGTATGTGGTAATGGTAAGTGTCTAGTAAACATTTTTTTCATTGTATTTTTAGGTATGGTTTTCAAAATGATTTGCCTGATTCGAGGCATCATCTTCACTCGATATAGGGCTATATATATTTTTTTGTCTTTATGTCAACCCTGATAAAGATCCAAGCAAGAGCACTCGAAATATTAGTTAAGTAAATTTGTTCCAAGAAGTCCCTAAAGAAGTCACCTTGTACTGTTTCCTGTATTTGAGTTTTATATGCTTCCTATAAAACTTATTAACTTTATTGATTATCAATTGTATAAGACAAGAGTGAAAACATTACATTCTGCCTGTTATTTACATGGAGAAGATTGCACAAAATTCAAATCATTTCCAAAACGTGGCATTGGATTATCAAAATGTTTGAACCGTATGATTATTACTGTCCAGTAGGACATGTATTTTATACCTATCGGTTTCTTTTTTAAAAAATTATGAAAAGTTAAATTTGATTGTTTTGGAGACAAATATGATGTTATTTTTTTATATTAATTCTTAGAGTTCATGAAATTTCATCCATTAGAATATCTTACAAATTTAGTAAATTTGTTGTGACAATTATAACATATTTATTCTGCTTCTCCAATTAAAACTAATTTATTTTTTGTCAAATTGCCACAAAATGGAAATGATGCCTAATTTCTAAGATGCAATAAGGAAGATTTTGAAGACTTTTGAAATGAAAAGTTTTTGGTAAATTTAGATTTCAATAGTGAAAATGACAGCTTCAACACTGGATATCATAATTGTAATGGACTGATTCATCATTATTAGCTATAAGTTTTGTAGTTGTTGACCAAATAACAATGTACAGTGGAGTAATTAGCTTATTACTGACCATTAATTGATTCATTTCAAAAAACTGCTATTCTGTCATTTCTAACACTAGCCTGAAAACAAACATAGAGGTCATAAACTTTGAAGTCCGAATCTGAACCATGCCATGCCCACACACATCTTGGAGATGATCAGTCCTCTGGCATATGGCCAATGTCATCTCAATGTCTCTTGGGTTTAAAGTGATTATGAACACCTTTGAATATTACAGTGAAAATATTTTATGACAATAATTAATTCTGATTATTGAATTTTTGGCTAATGCAATCTTTGTGGTCAGTGCAGGCATCGATTTAACAATTTCATCCATTTTGTACTAACACAGTATTATGGTAATAATTAATGATAATCATCATGAATATACTAACTAAACCTGTGTTATTTTCGTACAAACTTATTTTTATTTCATTAAATTCATGTAAGCTAATACATTCTATATAAACCAGGTGACAAGGTACATAATTTACAGATCGTCAACGTTGGCCTATAGCAACCCAAACTTGGCCAAGTTGGCTACTGGACCTCCCTCGTTTATATATGTTATGCTATATTCGATTATGTAAAT